TTATACAAGCCTTCATTCATTGACTTTGACCAAATAAACATATTTGACCAAATCAAGACCAGATCTTTGCATAGACATTTGTATCATAATGCCTCTTGAATGGGAGAGGACACATTCGTTTGACTTGGTGACTACAGTATGTGTTATTTTAAAAAACCACCTTCTCCGTGTGCCTTGTAAACAACATGTCCCCAACGGGCTGAGAAGGCAATCACAGGTGAGAAATCACTGCCAGCATTGACGACTCCAGTCCTTAGACGTCAAGTGTTTGGATGGGTAATAAAGTGATTAGTCCCAGTCTCAGAGGAAAAGAGCAGGGGTCAGAGGACTAATGATTGAACATGGTGGTGGTTGTGGCTTACTTGTGTAAGTGTGAGAAAAGACACCATCATCAAAAAAAAAAAAAAAAAAAGAATTTGAGTAAATGCCATAAAAGCCTCCCGGTCCTTGATGGAATGTAAAATGTCTGATGTACCTGTTCCTTGCAGGGCTGAGAACATCACTGTTCTCATTAGAAACTGCTTCTGTGCTGTCTCATAGCAACCTAAAAATAGAAATGTCCCTATTAGGCTGTATAGCTGTGATGGCTGCTACAAGTTTTGGCCTCCTTAATTGTGCAGTAAATATATATAGGTGTGAAATGTTTTTGCTTTGTCTCTTAAATTTATTGAGCAGTGAAAGCTGCCACTCAGAGACACAGCTGGTTGGAGATTTGCATAAATGAGCACAAATTATGAACTGAAATAATCACTGTTTAGAAAATATGACAGCTGATTTTAATATGTAAGAAAGCCCCATGAATGTGACATATTGGCATTTCCTATAGTGTGATGGTGATCCAGAGCAAATTTCTTCTTTCACATTTTCCCAGCTGAATTGTCTTAGCTATGCCCTTTAGTGCATTGCAGGTAGGAGTCCTGCCTTTACTCTAACAACAGGCATTGATGTTCCACACTGCTGACAGATTAAAGATTATTTATAGCACAGACTCACTATCTGAGGCATGGCTTCCCAAATTTAAAAAAAAAACAAAAAAAAACTGCGTAACCAGCAACCACTGCAAAACTGCTATCTCCTCATTTCCATTATGTGTAGGCCCAACTGTGCTTTCATTTACAAATTGTCCTTTTGAAATGATTAAATTTAAGCGCGCACACGCACACACACATACACACACACACACACACACACACGAACACACACACACACATTTACATGTCTTTGGGAGGTAACGCTCGTTTTGTTTGTGTCCTGCAGATATAGAAGATCAGGACAGAGGTTTTCATCAGAAGCAATTTATTTTGGTCGACTCTGACGTCAAGAGAATACACGTTTCATTCAACAAGCAAGACAGTAAGTTATTTATAACCCGCAGCGTCTCCAGGTTGTGATCCTTGAGTGCGCAGTGAAAGGAATACTCCCCATTGGACTGATGTAGTGTGCCTCCATAACAAAAGCCTCACAGCTCCTGTGCTATGGTGCCAGAAAGGTACGGCACCCTGTAACCTAAACCAGGACGCATCGATGGGAACCGTCACAGATGAGAAATAGGGCTATTGCGAAGAACTGCAACAAACTTTCTGTCTTGAATAATTAATTTTACCCCGATTTCTCCCCTTTTACGAGACAAACACTGGGTACTTTGAGCATGGAAAGCCTTTCCTCCGACCAGGTAAGAGAATTAGCAGACACTTAAGTTGCTCTGCGAAATTATTCAACAACAAAATGATTGAAAACGAAGGTAAATTAATTCAACTTTATGTCGTTTTCTTGCGTCGCTGCTCTTTTCATCTTAAAGGAGGCTGGTATAACTAGACGAACTTCTTACAATATACATAACATACAATCTATGGATAATTTTTGAAAATTAATATTTACATTATAAATAACATTTCACATGCAGAATTGAACAGAGAATGACATGACCAACCCTACAATGTGTAATGGAGCGCGCCTCTGTCGCCAAGTTATTCAAAATGAGAACCATGGACAGCGACTCTCATTTCATGTCGCCTGTCTGCACTGATGTTTGCATTGTCAGTATTTCAAATTTAGATTTAATATAAAAATCCATCTGACGTGCAGTCTCGTAGACAGATTTTGTTCGAATAAAAAGATGAACAATGCTGGTGTTTTTACGCACTTATTAGTTTGTGGATGCGTTTGCTCGTCGGTTGTCCCTCTCCCATAATTATAATGGAAAAGGACACCAGGAAGCTGCTGTTCTGACAATGCTGCATACATAAACTTTGATTTTGATATCCAAATATTATTGCCTGATCATCCATCAATAGTGTTTGTGAATCTAACAGGTGCTGTTACCATGCTGTCTCGGTGCATGCACTTGAATTTTGGCCATGTGAATGATCAGTTTCCACTACATTTTGCACATATTATCTCCATCTGAACTATTAAATAAAGAATATATTTCCATATCAGAAATCTGTAATTGTAAGTTATATTTTTAACTTTTATGTAGTAACAGACTGCCACCTGCTGGTGGTGATGGTTTGGCAAATTAGAGGAACAAACACAATCTTGAATGTGACAATACAAAGATTTTGTGGTGTAAGCTGAACTACTTCACTGATTTGTTCAAAGGGCTGTGAGCTGTAAGTTCAACACTGAGAAGATCTGTGATTGGCTGGGAGATGGCAGATATACTGGAGCTGCGGACTGATGGAAACTCACTCCTGAAGGCTGTATGGCTCAGACGCTTGAGACTCACCCGGCTCCTACTGGAAGGGGGTGCATATATCAACGAGAGCAATGAGCGTGGAGAGACACCGCTAATGGTGGCGTGCATGTCCACACACACTGACCAGCAGAGTGTAAGTAAGTCAAAGCTGGTGAAATATTTGCTGGACAACCAAGCAGACCCCAACATACAGGACAAGACAGGTAGGACAGCTCTAATGCACGCCTGCATCCACAAGGCTGGACACGAGGTGGTGGATCACTTGCTGACCAACGGAGCTGATCCCAGTCTGGAGGACAGGAGTGGAGCCTCAGCCCTGGTCTACGCCATCAATGCAGATGATAAGCAGACACTAAAACTGCTCCTGGATGCATGCAAAGCTAAAGGGAAGGAGGTCATCATAATCACCACAGACAAGTCACCATCTGGTACTAAAACTACCAAACAGTACCTAAATGTCCCCCCGTCACCAGAGCTGGATGAGAGGTCCCCTCCAGCATACTGCACCTCTCCCTCTGATATTGATGTTACTGCATCTCCCACACCTGAGCAAGAGCAACAAAACACAGTCTTCAGTTTCCACACGAAGCTGAAAACATCCAGTTCAGCTGCCAAGCTTGCCAACGGGCCCACATCTCCAACACGGCGGCCCGCGAACCCCAAACGTGCACGCTTGCCTCAGCTGAAAAGGCTGCAGTCAGAGCCTTGGGGGCTGATTGCTCCTTCTGTCCTGGCTGCAGCCGCCGCCCATGAGGAGAGCAAGAAAGCCAGCTCTGATGAGGATGTTGTCGCAGGGGTAAACGGACTCTCTCTGAGTAAGAGATCAGCTTTATCTCGACAGAACAGTGTGGATGGGAAGGACAGCTTATTCCCACTTGTAGGTGAACAGCCCTGCAAAATGACAACCTCACTATCAGTTCCTCCAACATCTAAAGCATCATATGAGAGATCTCTAGGCCAGCACCAGCCGCTGGCACGGCGCAGTACCGTACCCACAGAGCAGGAGAGCAGCAGCTGCAGCAGCAGTGGACTAGCCAGTCTGAGAGACACAATGCATAGGAGACGTCTGGGGAACGATCACTATGACTCAGACTCGCAGCTCTATTCAGACTCTACGATGTTAGACTCTCCTAAAGTCCCAGTGGAGCGAAGAAAACTAAACACTTCGCCACTAGCGATGCTGACCAGCTCCAGAGAATCTCTTGACAGCAATGCCAGCACATCCTCTCCCAGCTCAGCACGCAGGCGTGCACCTGGCCTCCTGGAGAGGAGAGGCTCGGGCACACTGCTGCTGGACCACATCTCCCACACCAGGCCCGGCCACCTGCCCCCTCTCAATGTCAACCCCAACCCTCCCATCCCTGATATCGGGGCTTGTAGCAAGCCTTCCTCACCTCTGGCCACAGGTATTAGATCTATAGCTCCAGTAGCACCAAACACACCAAAGAGAGGCGGCCTCAAGTCCAAGAAGAAACTTGTGAGAAGGCACTCTATGCAAGTGGAGCAGATGAAACAGCTTTCTGATTTTGAAGAGCTGGCTCATTAGTTTGTGATGGTGTTTATGCAGCACATACTGTGGGAGTAGAAATGTTAACACCATAAATTGTCAGGAAGTACGCCCATAGGTTCAGTTCACTCATAGCCATCTAGATGTTGAATAATGTATATTTTCTAATATCTATATCTATCTGTATGTATATATTTATATATACATATATATATATATATATGTGTGTGTATATATACATATATATATATATATAAACTGAGCAATATAGATAGATTTCCTCCCGGTGTTACACCCAACCTTATGGATTATTATCTTTTGACAAAATCTGCTGTTTATGTATTACAGTTTTGAATGTAAATGCCAAGACATGGTACTTTTCCTCTGAACTAGCTCTTACATGATAATGTAATGTGTAGGGAACACACAGGGTATTTTGTGTATTTGTAGCCATCAGGCCACTTGGGTGCCCTTTGTGCATATGTAATTAGCACCATTAATGGATTTTCTTTGAAAAGAAAAAATGTGATGCACTTGTCTGAGATGTAGCTTTGAGTAAGATGAAATTTGACTGTTTGTAGCAAATTTGTACAAAGTGCCTTCAGGATAAAGAAACCTAAAAAAAAAAGAGTGGACAGATACATTTTGTGTATTAAGACCATTTTTAATTCATGACGATGTAACCAAAATGTGTTTTATTTCAATATTGTTGGTTTCACATGGAACAAAATGAAGACTCAGAATAGATGTGAATGAATGAACAATATGCCTTAAGAAACAGGTAAACCAATGGGCTATGTATAACCGCACTTTATTGCCCAGAAGGAAAAAAAAAAACTCAAAAAGTTTCTATTAACAGTGTTAAGAAAAACTTTCAAAGCACATGAAATTCTTATATGATGAATTAATGAAACACTGAATGACATTCCAGCCCTTAGTCAACTGAGACATTGGTGAAACTTGTCGATTTTAATGTCATTTCACGCTAATGGCAATCGAGACTAAAGATCATACAGCTTCCATGTAACCTACCTGTGAAGCATTGCTTCTGTTTAAGGAAAAGAAAACATAAGTTAATCGATAGTATTTTTGCAAGTAGTTTGTTGTATATTCTGAATAAATGTCTATGACTTGTGAATATCTGGTGTTTGTTTATTTATTCATTTGTCACATTAAGCAGGAGCTCAGCTGCTAGTAGCCACACAGATGCTCATTAGAACGAGCACCAGTATTTCCTCAGGCCACTTGGAAGTCCATTGGTACTGTGATAATGACAATCATCATCATCGTCACCATCATCGATGTCATTGTGATTATGTCAAACCAACCATAGAGGCACTCAGATCCCACAGCTTCTTGGCAGCTTCATCATCCAGACCCTGGGGGGCTGCTGTTTTAGGGGCGCAGTCGCTGTAATCAGCACAGAATTTAGAGTTAAACACACGACTCGACCTGTTCCTACTGTGCCGAATCAGTCACAAGAACAAGTTATCATGATGAAAGAGGATGGAAATCACAGGGTTTCTTATAATACACTAACACTGCAATTTTTTCCAAGATGATGCTAATTCAGTTAATTCTGTGATAAGCAATATATTAACATCTTTTCCTCCCTATTAAGAAAAAAATGTACCACAGCCAGCAAAATAATTTTCCACAAAGCAGGAAACAATCAGGATTTTGTATCTATTCACTCGATTATGAAGAACTTTCAATTTCTTAGATTAATAGACAGTAAAGATTAAAATGTGTAATACAAAAGGTGTAAAAGAGTCTTTCTTTAGTTCCTGCAGAGCAAAATGAACTCATGCACTGACACTTAATTGTCAAACAGTCATTCACAAGTAAATGGATGAAGTACTAGAAAGCAGAACAGTTCAGAGTTTGTAAGAAGGAAATACCCCTTCTGCCAAGTCAGGATTACCGACTGGGCAAAGTGGCCAACCGCCTGAAGGCTCCAGATCCCTATTGACCAAGGTTCATTGTTTGCATTACTAAAGCACAATATCCACTAAAAAAATTAGAGTCTTACTATTATTACCTTATCTTAAGGTCCTGTCTTGAAAAGTATCCCTGTGTTGAAAAACTAGTTTTAAAGCTGCAATAATCAATATTTTTATGGTATCAATAGATCAATTTATTTTTGTATAGTATGTGAAAGGGGTCCCTCAGTTCTGTGGATCGGTGTTTTGGTTTTCCAGCCTGCAGCCATGCTCTCATCAACTTAGTTTCCATCTGTAGTAGGCAGCTGTTCTCAGCTCAAAAGCTCAGATAAACCTGCTGTGCACTACCTGTCCATTACTAAGTTTAGCAGTTCAAAGTTAACAACCAGCTGGTGAACACTGGTGAAGGTGGTGCAGCATTGCATGGCACCTAAAGAGACAGACATTTCCATCAAGAGTCAATTGAGAGCAAGAAAGAGCTACAATGAGGGTGAGTATTGGACCTACATGTATCAGGTGGTGGACCGTGTCTACTGGGTGTGTAAACAGACAACTATCGGCCAAAATATCGCTTTGCTATAACAATTTAAGGCGATGATATTCCAATATTGTGTTTTCAGTTTGTTCCGCTGCCTCCAAGTGGCCAAAAATAAATAAATTCAATGCAGCTTCGAGGAAAATATATGCTTTACTATATGTACATGGTATATGTTCTTAAATTTGACCTGTGGTTATACAACAATTTAGCATAAGAATACTGTGCACAGACACAAGAGGGGATTAAGTTAGTTAAGAGCAGCTTATTTTTGTCCTTGTGCCACCACGCAGCCATGAATGACACCATATCTCAATGTACTGCACTGATATTGACTGTCCAACATCTGTTCAATGACTGACCTGTAGTACAGTCCACTTTGATTCTGCAAACTTTCCTCCACAGCGCAGTAGATGGTGGTCTGTGCCCCTTCTGTTGGAGACTTGATGAGGAACATGAGTGGGGTATATACAACTCTCTTCCACAGGGGCATTGTGGGCCAGAAGTGCCGGCCGAGCTCAGTCCGGATCACTCCAGGGTGGAGGCTGTATGTCGTTACTCCAGTACCTGCAAAATGACAAGACATTGGACATAATGTATTCACTTTATCCACAACAGCACACAATCAAAGAGTTGACAGTGGCGTAGACGCAGTTGTTTAAATCCTGCATAACGTCTAGTGTGAGATATAAAAGGTTTCAGTACCTTGTAGTCTGTTGGACAGTTCCCTTGTAAAGAGGACATTAGCTAGTTTACTTTGTGAGTAGCTTTTCCAAGGGCGGTATTCGTTGTCTTGATTTATGTCATCAAAATAGATTTGACCTGTTGAGTGAAAGTAGAGCACACTTCTTCACAGATGTTGTATTTAACATTAAATTCAACTGAAAGGATGACATTAATGAGAGAACAAAAAACAACATTTAAAGAGAAAAACTGCACCTCTCTCATGAGCTAAACTGGAGACATTGACGATGCGGCTCGGAGCGGACTTCTTCAGCAGATCCAACAGACAGTTTGTCAACAGGAAGTGACCCAAGTGGTTCACACCAAACTGCATTTCGAAGCCCTCTTCAGTCTGCCACTTTGGACAGCTCATAATACCTAAGGGAAAGAATATCAGTGGAAGTTTGTTTGACCTTACCTGTTCATGTAATTACTGTGTACTGTTTTAAAGCTGTTGGAATATGATCACACCGTCAGAGGTCAGATGGGATTTATACATCTTACCTGCATTATTGATGAGAACATCCAGTCGCGCTTCACTTGCAAGGACATCCTTGGCTAGTTGTAGTACTGACTGCAGAGATGCCAAATCCAACTTTTTGACAATCACACTGTCATTTCCGCTCCTCTTCCTCACATCCTCTGCAGCTTTATTAGCTCTGTCCATGTCTCTACAGGCCAAAATGACCCTCGCACCTGTAACACAGCAGCAAGAACTTTTAAGTTTTATATTAAATGAGTTATTAAAGGTAAGAATACAAAACCCAGATTAGTCACTAACCCCTTCTAGCCAGGTCAACAGCTGTTTCTTTGCCAATCCCAGTGTTGCCTCCAGTGATCAAGACGACCTTCCCATCCAGCCGGGCTTTGCTGCGACATACTCCACCTGCCATCCATTTCTTCACACCAAAAAGTCCAACTCCTGTTAGAAAAAAATTAATAAAAAGGCCACACAGTTAAAATTATTCATCTCCACCAATCACAACCCCCTCCACCTAATGGAGACCTAAGTAAACCATTTACAACTTCTACCAAAATATTCTTAAATGTACACACAACAAAGGCAACTATTTAGACAATTAGTTCATCATTTCAGTCATTTTTCGAAAAGTTATTATTTTTGAACCAATTTCGGTGAAGTTGGTTCAAAAATAATAATTTACTTTACCTTTGTTTTTTTATTTTTTTAATCACGACATCTGAAAGGCAATTTTAAGATGCCATTGTGAAAATCTGTTTGGCATAGTTATAAGTCAGTCTTGTCTTCCAAGTTGTTTTGGTACTGCATGTGTTTTAACCTGACTTGACATCCCTTTCATTAGAATACCAAAATGGAAATTTAAGCTTTATTTTGTTTTTATCCTTGAAAAATTAATTGTATGTCAGGGCTATCTATCTATCTATCTATCTATCTATCTATCTATCTATCTATCTATCTATCTATCTATCTATCGCATACAGTGGATAAAGCTGTCAAATTTGCACCACGTGACCATATAAACAACAATCAGGGGAAGTATGCCAATGCCATTAACTAAAACATACAGACTGTGCTGCATATTATCAGCCATTAGTGAACAGGTATGAACAGACTGTGAGAGCTAGTCGTTTAAAATAACATCTATTCTTCCACTAAGAAACTGAAGGTGAGCAAAAATAATTTACCTGTTACTGTGACGAGCGCAATAGTTTTAGGATACTGAAAAACGAACGACCCCATCGCTGTCCGCATTGTCCTACTAATCCCCACACTGTTTATAGTGCTGAATTAGACGTTTCCCTGTTTACGAAAAGAAGTGCCCTCGATTACAGCTCTCATTCCGGTACAGCTACATAACAGTCTTCCACCAGGAAGTACCGCCTACAGTCACTCTATAGAGGAATCCTATTGGTTCCGACTGTTAATCAACTTCTAAAGCTTTGTAGCTTGATTGAATGGTCTGTTTGTTCTGTGCCAAGCAAGGTGTATTTTTGTATTAAAATTAATGAATGAATTAATAATTTGATCTAAAAAAGTGTCTTTCATCCACAAAATACAGTTTAAAGGTTAAAGTTAAAGGTGAAAAGTTACTGAATTTAAAGGGCAGTGAAAAAAATAAATACTAACAAAATAGAAGAAGAAATTAAAGCGAAATAAAAAATAGTACCAGTAAGATTGAGCAGAAGTGTCAAAGTCAGAAACGGGAACTGGAGAAAGTAATGACAGATTGACAGATTTGAAATAAAACTCTAAAAGGGTGAGTTTTCAATACCTCAAAAGTGACCTGTTATTTCTACATGTCGGGTACACAACCACAGAAAGCAGCTTCACTGTATGTTTTTGTTACCAGGGGCATATCTTTGCATCATATCAGCTGCTGTAAGTAGTCAAGGGCATCAAACACGAAATTAAAATGCATCCAAAATATACTGAAAGCCTGTGATTATGATGATATTTTAACTATTCATGATTGAGCTGGATGATGATGATGGCTGATCACCAGGTTTTATTTTTCTGTCACTTGTTTTGTTGTTTTGTTGTAGTATTTTATTTTCTGTGATCATGTGCAGCGATTCAAGCATTGATATGATGTTTTATTTATTCTATTATGATGACTATATCTTATGGATAAATCTGTGTATGGTTGCAAGACAAATTTCCTTTTGGAGAAAATATCCAATTGTTACTATAAAACATTACTAAACATTGTTCTAACCACAATTCTAGCCAATCCTCCTGCAGAGGTCACCAGAGGCTCACCAACACAGTCTCTGTGCCTCCTAAAGGACTCCAGCAGAGGGAGCAAATTCATCATATTAGGCCCCAGACTATGTTTTTTTTTTTACATCCACAGTTACCAATCAAGTCTAAGAACAGTGAGAAAGTACTTTATATAGCATCAAATTATATCCTAAACTCCTACAAGCAAATTAAGATGTGTCTCTGCTGTTTTACGAGTAGACAAAAGAAGAAATCCATCAGCAGCAGCAAGATGACAGTAATAAAAGCATTACACCCACAGATGTAAATTAAAGCCTGATCAGAGCTGCAGCTGAGCAGCAACTGACTCTTGAAATAAAATATCTGAGTCCTTTTAAGTTTATTGATCAGAGTAAAGTTTTAATGTGTCAAAGCAATAAGTCACCCTTTTCTCTGGGCTTAAAGTATAAAAGAGTAGGCTAATGAGTCTGGACGGGGACTAAATATAGACCTCTGGGGTTTCAGGGTGACATGTAATAGTGACTCTTTTCACTGGCAACTGCAGAGCATCTGTGAAGGTGGGTAGCATGTAGACATGTTTACATACCATGAGTTCAAAGGTCGCTGTAGAAAGTCAGAGGATTATGTAACTGCCACTGTCCCCTGTCTGACCGCATAACCACATTCTGCATTATAGTCTCCTATTACATGTGCACATGTGCAGGACAAGACTGTGCTTTTCAGAGACAATAGCTGACCTTCATTCACCTTCTCTGTAATGTTATAAACACAGGTTGAAAAATGTTATTTTTCATACAGATTGAGACATTGTGTGTTTGTTAATTGCTGCAATCTTATTACATATTTGTATTTCTGACAGTTGTCAGTGCAGGCCTCCTGTTCTCAAATGTAAGAACATTTCAGAGGTGACCTGGTTGTCTCTCTGACTGGCTCACCACCAAATCAATCATGTGACTGCCCTGCACACTTCCCAGTCTTTCTCCCAGTATGGTAACCTTCCCCTGCTAAAATTAGAGCGCCGTCTGCCGAGACATTTAGATTGGAATAGAATAGAATAGAATAGAATAGAATAGAATAGAATAGAATAGAATACTTTTAGTGTCATTGTACATGTACACTGAGATTTAGTGTGCTGTATCGTGCAACAGGAGGATTGAAAAATCAAATATAAATATGAATTTAAAGAAAAAAGATAAGAAAGCATGGAAAGGAATTAAGATTTTGTTGAGGAGGTTTACAGCTCTGTGATAATAACTGTTCCTCCAGATGATTTGGAGTCTCAGTAAATTTGACAATTTGACACAGCTCACACGGGTTTATTTGTGTGCTAACGATAGTCTTTGAGCACCCATCTGTCTAATGACATAGTAGATTTTTAATGAGGTAAACAGCTATTATTTCACAACCTTATCTGTAAACTCTGTATACTTCTTATATATGCATAGATCAGCTGAGCAATGAATAGTTGCCTTACACAGTTTTACTTCCCTGTGTCATAAGGTGTATTTAAATGGGCTTTTATCTTTCTAATAATAAAGTGTGATGCATTCAGAGGTGGTAAATACTTTAAAAGAAATCAGAACATGGCTTCAGGTCAGTTAATTATCAAACAATTGTTAGAGTTATATCATAAAAGCACAAATTGTATTTTGTTTGTTTGTTTGTTTGTTTTTAGTCCCTATTCTTGCCACTCACATATTTGCATTTAGTTTACAAAATAAATTATAGGGCTGAATCAATAACATCCCATTTATCTTGAATGTCTGCAGAGATGGCACAGTCATGTGATAATGAAATTATTATGAATGTTATTTATTTTATCATCATTGTTATCATAATTTTCAAAAATAGAATCATAATATTTCTACAAACACAAACTTGAGTGTCACAAAGTCAGACAGGCAAAGTGTTGGTCAGCTTTTAAAGGGGCTTTTAAGGACACCCTTTTAAAGGGGCATGTCAGTGATTTTACAGTTAAGATTATTTGACAGAGATATGCCTACCACTCAGCTTGTGAATACAGTTAAACAATGTCCTCTGTGGCTCTGGAGGAAGTTTCCCAAAGTTTGAAAAATAACCTTGTTGATGTCACTAGGGTTATTTGGGAATGGGCTTGTATAGGGATTTCAAATTTACAACAGAGAGACTGCATAACAAACTAGGGGTGTGGAGTTTCAAAGACATGAACATTTTCCAGGAGTCAACAAATGATGTACTGATGTACATTGTTGGAAATGTAGGGTCCAGAGTTTTGGGGGCTTGACCTATAATAAGACTAAAAGTCAGGGAATCTCTGCTTCTATTGCATTGATTTCTTAAAAAGAAATTCCCTTGTCAGTCCCACAACTGTATAGATATGGAATACTTAATCGCTGGAGTGTCCCTTTTAGTTGTCCAATATTTATTGCACATGTACAGTTTTAGTGTAAAACCACAAAAAGTTTGCTATTTTCAAACCTATACTGAGAGAACCAATGTGCCTGATCTTTACAGTCACTTCTACAGTATGTGGGAGCATTGGGATTGTGAGGGAAGAAATCAAGAACCTACATTTAATGTATAAACTCTGGTGATGGCAGATGGTGACTATGGCCTGGGGTCGTCCTGACTTAAGAAGCTTAGGGGTCAGGCAGCTCAGGACTTTCTCTGTTGTCTAGACTGTAAAGGGAAAGCTGTTCGCAGTGTTAGCTCAGTCCCCTCCTCAGGGTCTGTGTGGCTCTGACGTAGACCTCAGCGTGTCCCGCCGGGGAGGGGGCAGAAGGGCGGTGCTGTTGCTGCCGCTCACTATATTGCAGGGAACCTCGGAACGGTTTGCCCTCTCTTTCCCCTGAGTTTCGTCGAGTGTTTCACCGTAAAGTGACTTCGGCCGCAGAGACATGGCTGGATACTTGAAAGTCCTCAGCTCTCTTTCGAGGTCTGCTGGTGCTGCCTTTTCCAGAAACCCCGCGGTGCTTGCGCCGGCTGCAAACTGCCAGACTTTGCAACAAAGAAACTGTGAGTGAAGATAGAGATAACAGGGGTCATCTTCAGCATCATGATGTTGACGGTTAACTGCTACCTATGTGTTAAGATGGCGCTTTTTAGTATGTCTCTAGTTAAATTAGGCAAACTAGTGTAATATCGGCTTAGTAATAGAGTGACAAAATCAACCGTCCGTTAGAAACCAGTGGCGCCGAGCTAACGCAGCCATGCTAGCCAACCTGTGTGCGATGCTAGCCAACTGTGATGCTGTTAATGGCTTTAATTGGTTTTTTGAGCTCAGGGGCAACGGTGCTCTGGTAATGTTTGTTGTGTGGTTGGTTAAGTGCGGGTTGTTAAAACAATGAGGCGCCCGTAAACGTCGAGAGAGATAGGGGTCGAGACAGCAAAACGACCAGCCGGGGACAGCGGTCTTTGTCTTCCCGAACCAAACTTTGAGGAACAGTCTGTGGCAAAGTGAAGATATGTGTTGATAAAAATGAATGAACCATTGACTGAATAAAACCCGCTGACAAAATAAGTGTGATAGGGAAAGTTTTCACTCCGCTGTGCCGCGATAAGAAACAAATAAGTCAATGAGACTTTCGCTTTTGCAAGAAGCAGCAGCAGATGAATCAAATGAATCTTCCCGTTTTTTTTAGCTGTTTGTGCGGAAATGTCATCGCCCGTCACTGAGGCAGAATATACTTTTAACCGTCGTTAAAAAACAAGTCAAAACGGGTGTCTAAGTCGAAAATGATGAGTTGCTCCTCAGCCTCCAGGTTATTAGTGCAACTTTTGACTTGGAAAAACTTTTGCCAAGGTCAGCCACAGCATACGAGACTCCACTATAGAGAGCAATGGCTGCCAGTGCTCGATCTGTCCTACATAATATTTTCCATCTGGGTTACATCCAGACTATTGCTAGGAGCCGCATATTTTACCACATCTGACCCTAGCATTTAACTGTAAAACACTGTGTGGCTTGTTACTTTTATGTATTGTAAAGGTCTACAAATTTCACTTTTTCTTTTCAAACTATTGCTAGGAGACCAACCTAAATCTGTTGCTTTTTTTGTCTTTCATTTGGAGCAGGGATCCAGATTTATCACGTGGGCTGTGCAGACATTTCTAGAAGAATTCATACAGCATGAATTTGCAACTTTAAG